TTTGTTAATTCTTTTTTCATTGCTTTTGTAGTTCTGTGTTCCTTTTTTCTTCTTTTGCTCTCTTGTTTTTGTAGACATAACAGATTTTGTATTGCTTTCGTTTGTTAAATAATTATTTTAGCTACAAAATATTTAAATACATATAAGTAAAATTATATGTTCAACAAAATTAAATTGCAATCATTGATGTTTCCAAAAAGCTTTGTTCTTCAAAACTTATCATGCCAAATTTACAAAGGTTAGATTTTCTTCTTAAACAATCTTTATAATTTTTAGAAATTTAAATATTATCTCTCAGATAAATTTTAAAAATCACTTTTGATCTTTCTGTAGTGTACCAGCTTAAATTATAATTTTAAAATTGAGTTATAGTTGATTTACATATTAGCTTCTGGTGTACAATATACTGATTCAATATTTTTAGATTATACTCCATTTATAATTATTACAAAATAATGGCTACATTTCCCTTTGCTGGACAGGACATTCTTGTTGATTATTTATTTTATACATAGTAGTTTGTATCTCTTAATTCTCTATACTATCTTGCCCCGCCTGCTTTCCCTCTCCCCACTGGTACCACTACTTTGCTCTTTATATCTGTGAGTCTGTTTCCATTTTGTTATGTACACTCATTTGTTTCATTTTTAGATTCCACCTATAAGTGATATCATACAGTAGTTTTCTTTCTCTGAATTATGTCACTTAGCATAATAGCCTTCAATATCACCCATGTTGCTGCAAATGGCAGAATTTCATTCTGTTTTATGGCTGAATAATATTCCAGTGTGTGTGTGTGTGTGTGTGTGTGTGACATTTTCTTAATCCATTCCTAGGCTGCCTCCATATCTTGACTATTGTAAATAATGCTGCTATAAACATTGGGGAGCATTATCTTTTTGAATTTGTATTTTTGTTTTCTTTGGATATATACCCAGGAGTGGAATTACTAGATCATATATTAGTTCAATTTTTAGTTTTTTGAGGAAATTCTATACAGTTTTCCATAGTGCTGCACCAATTTACATTCCCACCAACAGTGTCCTAGGTTTCCCTTTTCTCCACATCCTCCCCAACATTTGTTATTTGTATACTTTTAGGTAATAGACATTCTGCCAGGTGTGAGGTGATACCTCATTGTGGTTTGGAATTTCTCTAATGTTTAACTATATTGAGCATCTTTTCATGTGTTTGTTGGCCATCTGTATGTCTTCTCTGAAAAAAAAAAAGTCTATTAAGTTCTTTTGCCCATTTTTTAACCTGATTGGTTTTGATATTGAGCTGTATAAGCTGTTCATACATTTTGGATATTAATCCCTTATCAGTCATATCATTTGCAAATATGTTCTCCCATTCAGTTATATGTCTTTTCATTTTGTTGATGGTTTCCTTTGCTGTGCAAAAGCTTTAAGTTTAATTAGGTCCTATTTGTCTATTTTTTATTTTCTTTCTTTTGCCTTAGGAGGCTGATCCATAAAAATATTGCTTCAGTTTATGTCAAAGAGTGTTCTGCCTATGTTCTCTTCTAGGAGTTTTTTCATGTCTTACATTCAGGTCTTTAATACTTTTTGAGTTTATTTCTGTATATGGTGTTAGAAAACGTTCTAATGTCATCCTTTTACGTGTAGCTGTCCAGTTTCTCAGCACCACTTAATCTTACTTTCTTCCTTTGTGGTTTGATGACTTTTTTTTTAACTACTTTACTTATATTACTTTCTATTTCTCTCTGTCTTTCTTTTTGTACTGTAGGATTGCTTTGCGGTTACTAGGAGGCTTTTGTGTAATAACGTAATGGTAAAACTCTTTTAAGTTGATTTTAAGTTGATAATAAAGTAAGTTTGATCCCTGAGGCTCAACATTTTTACTCTCCTCCTCATATGCTATGCTTTTGATATCACATTTTATATTTTTTTATCTTGTGTTTTCTTTTAACTACTTATTATAATCATAGTTTTTTTTAACTACTTTTGCCTTTTCTATATGAGCTTTATAAGTGTTTAAATCACTACATTACTATATATTTACCTTTCCAGTGAGATTTTTTTCTTTCATATGTTTTCTTGTTACTAATTAAACTTTCTTTTCAGTTTAAATAAGTTCTTTTAACACTTTTTGTAAGGCCAATTTTGTAGTGAAAATTCTTTTAGCTTTTACTTGTCTGGAAAACTCTTTCTTCTTCAATACTGGATGATAACTTTTCTGGCTGGAGTGTTATTGGTTGGATTTTTTTTTTTTTTTTTTTAGTTTCAGCACTTTGAATATATTATTTCACTCCCTTCTGATCTGCAAAGTTTCTGCTAAAAAATCTACAGATAGTCTTTTTTTTTAATTGAAGTACAGTCAGTTACAATGTGTCAATTTCTGGTGTACAGCACAATGTCCCTGTCATGCATATATGTACATATATTCATTTTCATATTTTTTCCATTAAAAGTTATCACAAGATATTAAACATAGTTCCCTGTGATATACAAAAATAAACTTTTAAAAAAATCTATTTTTATACATAGTGGCTAACATCATGTAAATCTCAGACTGCCAAATATATCCCTTCCCATCCCCTTTCCCTGGTAACCATAGGATTGTTTACTAAGTCTGTGAGTCTTTCTGTTTTGTAGATGAGTTCATAGTGTCCTCTTTTGTTTTGTTTTTTTTTAGACTCCACATATGGGTGATATATGGTATTTTTCTTTCTCTTTCTGGCTTACTTCACTTTGAATGATAATCTCTAGGTCCATCCATGTTGCTGTAAATGGCATTATTTTATTCATTTTTTAGGCAGAGTAGTATTCTATTGTATAAATATACCACAACTTTATCCAGTCATCTGTCAATGGTCATTTAGGTTGCTTCCATGTATTGGCTATTGTATATAGTGCTGCTATGAACATTGGGGTACATGTATCTTTTTGCATTAGAATTCCCTCTGGACATATACCCAGAAGTGGGACTGCTGGATCATGTATAGGTAGTCTTATGAGTGTCTCCTTTCATATAACAAAATGTTTTATTCTTGCTGCTTTTAATGTTCTCTTTTTGTCTTTAACTTTTGATGTTTTAATTATAATGTGTCTTCATGTAGGCCTCTTTGGGTTCATCTTATTTGAGTTCTGAGCTTCCTAGATCTGGATATCTGTTTCTTTACCCAGGTTAGGGATGTTTTCAGCCATTATTTATTCAAACAAGATTTCTGCCATTTTCTCTATCTCTTCTCCTTCTGGGACCCCTATAAGTTGAACATAGGTCCATTTGATTTTGTCTCATAAGTTCCTTCAGCTATCTTCGATTTTTAAATTACTTATTTTTTCTTTGCTGCTCTGATTGAATGAGTTCTAACTGCCCTGTCTTAAAGTCAGCAGATTCTTTTTCAGGCTTCATCTAGTCTGCTGTTGACTCTCTCTGGTGTCCTTTTTAGTTTAGTTATTGTATTCAGCAGCACTGATTTCTGTTTGGTTCTTTCTCATATTTTCCATCTTTTTGTGGATGTTTTTATGTGTCCATCCATTCTTCTCCCCACTAACCATTGCTTTGAACATTTTATCAGGTACATTATTTAAGTCTGTTTCATTAAGTTTTTTTTCTTTCAAGGCTGTATCTTGTTCTTTTATTTGGAATATATTCTTCTGTTTCTTTATTTTGCTTGACTCTGTTTTGGTTTCTATTCAGTAGATGAAACCACTTCTCCCCATATTGAAGAAGTTGCATCATGTAGGATTTAACGCTTATTGTTCACTGACTTTCCCAGGGCTTTGTTATCTCTCAAATCTTTGTGCTTGTACAAACAGCCTGTGATATTTTTTTAAATGCTCTCAGTATTTGAGGGTGTGCCAAGACCTGTCAGTGCCCCTAAGAGGAAGATCTCCGGACCTAAATTCAAGCTATTTGGAAGCCAGAACTCAGGCAGCAGCTTTTAAAAGTATGCAAGTATATACAGTTTTGTGGGAACTTAAACTTAAGCCCCACTGGCCAAGAGATACGATTATGTCCTCTGGGTGGCAGTTGCAAAATTTGGGATTCCAGATGATGGTAAGGTGTGAATTAACACAACCACTTTGAAAAATAATTTAGCAATACCTTCTAAACTAAACCTCATGAGCTAGGAATCTACTCCCTGGTTTATACTCAATGGAAACACATGCCCATGTGCATCAAGAGATCTGTACCAGAATATTTGTAGCAGAGCTCCTTGAATTAGCTTCCAAAGCAAGTGAAAGCCCTTTGTTCCCTTTGAGGTCCTTCTGTTGGACTGAGATGTAATAATCTCTGTTTAACCTTATATGCTTTTCCTGTCTTGGAGCAAAGTAGGTGGGATGTAATATAATATATGTAAGGTGATATGCTTTTGTCGATATAAATTTAAATGCCCCTTAGGAAGACCAAAGTATGGACCCAGAAAGAAAGGGTAGGCAAAATTATTTGAAAATAAGAAATTTGCCTGCCTCAAGGCAGCTAATGTCCTAGAGATCTTTGTTAACGGTATGCCAGGATAGAAACGTGACTTCTGAAAAGTCACAAAAGCAATTCACCTTCTGTAGTAATTAAAAAAAAAAATCAAACAGTATAGAAAGACATAAAATGGAATGTCTCCTTCCCACATAGTTTTTCAAATATAACTACTATTTTAGGTATGTTTTTCCAGGAAACAGAAAGGGATACTTATGTTAGTTTATATACACATGTATTCCATTTTTTTACAACAACCCCAATGTGATAATACTACAAATCCCAATCTATTCCTCACTTTTTTCTCTTCGTATTAATCAGGGTTGTCTTGCCTTCTTGTACATGCAGGTTTACCTCATTCTTAATGTCTACATTGTGTGTCATTGTGTAGATGTACCAGAATATTCTTAAACATTCCCATATTCATTCAGTCCTATTATGTTGTTTACAGTGTTTTGGCAATTATGAATGATGTCACAGTAAACATTATTTTAGAGCTATTTTCACGTACTTTCCTTAGGGTATTTTCTCAGCAATAGAAATGTGGGGCCATGTTTATGTGCTTTATAAAAACCCTAACATTTATTTTTTCACTCTGACCACAGGGCAGGAAATTTTGATTAGTAGTTAAATATGGGTATGTCCACTTCCTTTTTTCTGATTTACTAGGGCACCCTGCTCTTGAAAAAAGCAGTTTCTCAGCTGTGCTCCTTGAGGCTAGTGTGACAGTATACTACTGTAAGATCAAAACCAAACCTGTAATCCCTCAGAAAACCTCTCTTTTGTTCTCAGCCCTGGGCAGGCCAGGTCTTCATGCTGCTGTGGGTGTCGCTCCTTGTCCTGGGTAAGTAGAACCACTTAACATGGGCGCTGGGTGGGGTCGGGACAGCCTCTTTCTGCCACGGACCTAGCCTTTGCTTGGGGCTCAGCCCCTGCTCGGAGAGCTTTCCGATCTGGGGAGATTATATTCTCCAGCTTTACCACACAGCTCCTGGACTTCTTCCTTGAGGCTGAAGGACTGGTCAGAGCTGGATTAAAACTTTAACCTTGCAGAGAAGGAAACCACAGTGACCACAACACTTAAGGATTTATTCTTTTTTTTTCCCTCCCCTCCAAGGGTTTATTCTTTTTTTTCCCCTCTTACAACAAATATTACTTTATGAAGTCCAAGAGGTGTATTATGTTTGCTTGTTCATATTGTCTTATTCAAAGAAGACTCTACTTTTATTTCTGCGAAGGAAGTGTATTTATTCCCTGTATGATAATCACATGCTGGACATGGAGGACAAGTTTTCTAGATTGTGGTGCTGGACATGGAGGACAAGTTTTCTAACATGGAAGATGTCTCTTTTTGCACACAAATTCAAACCACAGCAGTGGCTGATAGATAAAGAACACAGGGAAGGGGAGGAGAGGAGGCGATTTGTAGGGGTAAGTGGGCAAGGCAAGGAAAAAACGTAAGACAGATGACACTCTTTCTCCTCCTCACCCAGGTTTGTTGAAGTATAACTGACAGATAAAAATTGTATATATTTAAGATGCACAAGATGATGATTTGATATACATATGTTATGAAATAATTACCAAAATCAGCTAATTAACATTTATATCATTTCACATAGCTGCATTATGTGTGTGTGTGTGATGAGAATATTCAGAATCAACTCTCCTAGCAAATTTCAAGTACATATTGTTATTAACTGTAGTCATCATATTGTACATTAGATCTCCAGTACTTATTTGTCTTATAACTGAAAATTTGTTTCCTTTGACCAGCATCTCCCCAGTTCCGCCACATCCAACTCACTAGCTGCCAACACCATTTTATTCTCTGCTTTTGTGAGTTCAACTTTCTCAGATTCCTCATATAAGTGAAATCATGCAGTATTTGCCTTTTGCTGTTTGGCTTATTTCATTTAGCATAATGTTCTCCAGTTTTATCCACGGTGTCACAATGGCAGGATTTCTTTCTCTTTTTAAAAAGTGAATAATATCCTGCTGCCTATATGTACCACATTGTCTTTATCCATCAATCAGTCAACAGACACTTAGATTATTTCCACTATTTCAGTTACTGTGAATAATGATGCAATGAATATGGGAGTACAGGAATCTCTCTGAGATACTGATTTCATTTCCTTTGGATGCATACCCAGAAGTAAGATTGCCAGATCCTATGATAGTTTTACTTTTAATTTTTTAGGAACTTCCATACTGTTTTCACATAATGGCTGCATGAATTTACATTCTTACCAACAGTGTTCAAGGGTTCCTCACCAACACTTGTTATCTTTTGCCTATTTGGTAATAGTCATTCTAACAGGTGTGAGGTAATATCTTGTGGTTTTGATTTGCATTCCCTGATGATTGCTAACACTGAGCATCTTCTCATATACTTATCATACATTTGTATGTCTTCTATTGAGTATATCTATTTAAGTGCTTAACTGTTTTTAAATCAAGTTATTTGTATTTTGCTATTGATTTGTTTGAGTTCCTTAGACATTTAATATATTAACCCCTTATCAGATATAAGGTTTGCAAGTATTTTCTCCCATTCCATAGGTTACTTTTATGCTGTTGATTATTTCCTTTGCTGTGCAAAAGCCTTTCTTTTTGATGCAATCCTGTTTATTTTTGTTTTTGCTTTTGTTGTCTATGCTTTGGGGGTCATATCCAAAAACTCATGTCCCAGATCAATGCCAAGAAGCTTTCTCTCTATGTTCTCTTTTAGTAGTTTACAGTTTCAGGTTGTAGATTTAAGTCTTAATCTACTTTGAGTTGATTTTTGTACACGGTGAGCTATAAGGGTCCAATTTTATTTTATTTTTTCATGTGAATTGTCAGTTTTTGCAGCATGATTTATGGAGGAAGCTATCCTTTCTTTCTTGTGTGTTCTTGGCAACTTTTTTGAAGCTCGGTTGACTATAAGGGTGTGGGTTAATTTCTGGGGTCTCTGTTTTGATCCATTGGTCTATATGTCTGTTTTTTTATGCCAGTTTTGATTATTATAGCTTTGTAATGTAGTTTGAAGCCAGAAAGTATGATGTCTCCAGTTTTGGTCTTCTGGCTCAAGATAGTTTTGGCTTTTGGGGTCTTTTGTGTATTTATTACGATTTCTTTTTCCTTGTGATTACTGTGAGGCTTATGTAAAACATAACAGTCAACTTAAATTAAATAATTTATTTCAATCACATATTAAAAACTATACTTTTAGTCTCCTTTCCCCTATTTTGTTATAGATATCACAATTTACATGTTTTTATATTATGTATACATTAAACTATTGTAGCTACAGTTTTTTTTAATAGTTTTGGCTTTTTAAATTTTACATTAGCATTAAAAGAGATTTATATGCCACCATATAGGATGCTATGGTCTGAATGTTTGAGATGATAGGGCCTTTGGGAGGTGATTATGTCACGAGGGCAGAACCATTATGAAAGAGATTAGTGCCCTTATAAAAGAGGCCAAAGAGAGCCCCCTCTTACCTTCTTCTTTGTGAGAGTATAGTGAGAATATGGCTGTCTATGATGAAGTGGGCAGTACCAGAGATGAGCTCATGACATAGAAGAGCCTTGAACAAGGGCAACGTACAGGAAATATCTGTGTAACAAGATCTCAGTTAAACAATTGTCCAGGCAAAGTTACCAATGACAGTAAAAGTGGGTAATAAACTGTATGCCAAGTAGCTGGTAATGACTTTATGAAACAGAGAGAGAGTAGGAGCTGGAGGGGGCAGAGATGGAGTGGAGCACAATGTAAGAAAAATGGACCCCACAGATGGAAGCTGTATGGAATATTCCAGAAATAGGAAAAACATCCTAGTGTGCACCAAAGCAGAGTGGCAGGATAGGGTAATGGCCAAGAGTACGTGCTTTGTGGTCAAACAAGATGGGTTCAAGGAAATGGGTTAGAGACTTCATTCTGTCCTTAAATAGTTTCTAGTCTGTAAAATGGGGATAACCATAGAACTTTCCTCATAAGGATAGTGAGATTACATGGAATAATATGTGTGTATGTCTACCATATAGAATACACTCAGAAAAATATCAGCTACTTTTAATGTGACACAAAACCCACGGTGACCAAGATATTTAGGAAATGGCAAATAATCCGTTGTTCTGTAAATAACACTTAGATTTTAATTACATCTCCATCAGCCCCATGTGGACAGGAATAAGATCCTTCCTGCTCACTGCTGGATTCCATTGCCTTGTCCAGCTCCTAGCATATGATTGGCATTCCAAAACTTTCTCTTGAAGGAATGAAGCAAATCTGTCCCTCATCTGGAATATCGAATCAACTTATAAGCTTGTCAGTCTTGCCTCCTCTGTCTCTCCGTTACCCTTTGCGCAAACCTGTGTCCTCCTAAGGAGAGATACTAACTGACCTAGCACTCTAATTGAGTCATTACTCAACAAGTAGTATTCAGTACATATTTGTGGCATATCTCTCACGTGCACTGTTATAGATTCTGGGGGCAATACAGTGAACATGAGAAGTCCCTGTTCTCCCAGAGCTCCTGTTCTAGTCTCTCTGCTTCGTACTTGGTCTGCCTGGACTCCACGCATGGCCGGAGTGCTAAGTCACAGATTTTAAGCTTGTCACTCTCTTGCATAAACCCTTTCCATGGCTCCCACTGCTTTTATAATGAGCTCGTAACTACCTAATTTAGGCCTGTATGCCTCTCTGATTTCTGATCTCCCCTAAACTCCCTAGCTTCCAGAACCTCTCCTCCCCCGAACTGCACACCAGTGCTATCTCTTCTCTTCTGTGCCCTTTCTGCCTTGATTACCCTCCGCACCATCTCATTGCCTGGCTGATTCCTATATTCTCACTCACAGGTTTCTCAAGTAGCATTTCTTTCAGGTGTCCTTCATGGTCCGCCCACCGTCTTTGCCGCACACTCACACACACACACACCCTACACACTGGGACGGGCGGTCCTTCTGCCCTTAAGATGCCCCGTGTGTATTTCTATTACTGCACTTACACGCTGTATTATAATTTATATTATTTTGCTTCAGGTTTCTGTTTACCCTACTGATCAACTTCTTGCTATCTGAATCCATTTTTAAAATTCATCTTAAAAGTCCAAGCACAATGGTCAGTATATATAGACATTTGATAAATGACTGTTACTTTAAAAAATAAGTTTTTACAAAAAAATAATAATTGGATGGGGAAAATATAAACATTACCTTTGAAAAGCCAAATAATTCTTGCTCTGTGCTCATCTCTGGCTCCTTCTATTTTTACAGCTCCCGTCACTGGACAGTCTGGTGAGTACTTCTTTCTTATGTTGTTCAGTGTCCCTGGTAATAAATATGAAATATTTGTGACGCTTGTCTGAGGATCTCTAATACCTCCTGTTCTTGCTGAGGCCGGCAGGAATGTGAAAGTGTCACCTGGTCTCCTGGCTTTGCCCAGGGGCCAGGATATCTACATGGCCATCCTTTAATGTAATGGTCATCCGTTAATCCTTCCTGGAAGAAGTGGTGAATGTCCAAGCAGCTGCTGGCCTTCACTAGGCCCTGCACTTGCTCCTATTACAAATGGGCCCCAGCTAACAAGGCAGACCATCTGAACCCCATGGCAATTGTGCAGGACTTGGGATAAGATATTCTCCAATCAGCAAGCCGCCAAACCCCTCTGAAAACATCACACAGTGGCGAGGCCAGCAGGAATGCTGCATTCGCTACAGTTTTAGGAGTAAAATCCTCCAGGAAATGTTCAAAGAGTAGAAGAACATCCAACAAATGGTCCCTTAAAAGGAGGAAATGCACAAAAAAGGGAAATTGGGGGAGATGACAAATCGTCTGTATCCCACATTTTTTTTTTTTGAATTCTGACCCTTACTGTGCTTCTTCTGGGTAGAGAATCTTGGATATTTGGGGACCCATGAAGAGCACGAACCCTTTACCACCTCCCTCCTGTCCAAAGTTGGCTGCCCCAGGTTTCATCCTTGACTAGATCACCTCTGGATTCCAGCTAATGATTTGTCCCTTCCTTGCTCTCCCACAAGTAACTATGATGGGATTTTTCTGGCATGATCTGTAAAATGAAGGCAAGCTAATATCTCAAACTTCTGTTAGTGCCCAAACCATGATATGCTTTATCCTTTTATGGAAAGTGCAAAATTGTGATTTAACAACTGCTTCGGAAGTTCTTCTGAGGCTATGAACGTGATGAAGTGGCAGGGGCAGGGGGTGACTTTTGCCAGGCTCCAGTTCCACAACAGAACAGCCAGCCTTGTTTTTCCCACTGACATTTGGCAGCAAATCCTGCTGACACTGCCCTTTTCAAATCACTTTGCTCATTGCCATCCCCTCAGCAATCATTGTTTACTGAGTGAGGTGAGTGCTCTGGTTGACACATGGCCTTGAGCAATCAGTGACCTTCCCTGTGGGATTACTTAGGGGTTCTCTAAAGCCAGGTCCTCCAGTCTATCCCTCACAAGCCACTGTGATGGGGATTGCAGGTCACTCCACCTCATGCTCTTTCTCTTTCCTCCACAGTCACGGAACCAAAACCTGTAATTTCCCTCCATCCTCCATGGACCACCGTTTTCCAAGGAGAGAGAGTGACACTGACTTGTAATGCATTTCACTTCAGTGCAAAGTACCGTTGGTACTTTGAGGAAACTTCATATGAAACCTTCAGCAACACTCTTGAAGTTCAAAATTCTGGAGAGTACAGATGCCAGGCCCAGAATTCACCCCTAAGTAATCGGGTGCCCCTGCTCTTTTCTCCAGGTGAGAAAGAAATGAAAGAAAAAAGAAAACTTTAGAAATAATCAAGTTACCCAGAACTCAGCTTGTATTTACTAAATTAAAAGCTATAGAGATAAGACCCAAGAATTTATATATTTTATAAACTGCTCAGGTAAAAGGAAATTTGAGAAACAATTTATTAGAATTGTTCCTGAATCTATGTATAGTTTTAAGCCTGTAAAATTAACTTGGAATAATAAGATGCATGAGGAGAGGGAGAGAGACAGAAAATTTTTGATTTCTATCCTAAAACCACCTGTTTTGAATTTGAAGCAGTACCTTTCTAGCTATGATGCTCTTTATTTTTTTTTAACATTTTTTAGTGAGCTATAGTCATTTTACAATGTTGTATCAAATTCCAGTGTAATGCTCTTTACTTTAGTGAACAAGGAAGCAGTGTGGCAGCCAGGAGCAGAGGAAGTGCTTATCCTCTTTGACCTGACAATTCTGCTCTTAAAAAAATTACCCACTGAAATAATGATATATATTTACCACCAAAACTGAAGACAAACAGTCAAGAAAAGAAAGCTCATTAAATAAATTACATTACTAGCATGAAAGGAAAACTTTGTGGTCATCAGAAACCAGGTTTGGGAATGATGTTGATGAGCTGTTGATGATATAGAAAAGTATTCATGGCCAGGTAAGTGAAAAGCAAGTTATCAAATAGATAAATATTATTCTAATTCCATCAAAAGAAAAAAATACACATAGACTCATGTATACATGCACATAGGAAAAAGAACTGGAAAAATGTATACCAAAATCTGGGCAGTGAAATGATAGCAGATTTAAACTTACGTTTCTGCTTTCCAAATGTTCTCAAGGCAGATACGTTATTATTTTTAAGAATCCTTTTTCCCAGCCCTCATTCCTGTGAAATCTATTGGGATAATAATGAAAAGAAGGAGGAAACAATCAGATGAAACAAAGAACTGCTCTGTGTTTCCAACAGCCAACCTGATCCTGCAGGCTCCACTTGACGTGTTTGAAGAGGAATCCGTAGTTCTGAGATGCCAAACAAGGGCAAAAGCAGGACTAAATGCTGTAATGCTGTACAAGAATGGAAAATTCCTGAAAGCCCTTGAAAACATCTCTGACTTCACTATTCATCAAGCAAGTCTGAAAGACAATGGTATATATCACTGTACTGGAGTTAAGGAAGATGGTCACTATGTTTCTTCAAACTCAGTGGAAATCCAAGTCCAAGGTAAAGACCTCATTATTTTGTGAGATAGGTTAGTCGAAAGGAGGACCCCTGAGACTGTAAAGGATAAAAAGGGTGGGCTGAAATACCGCTGAACCTCAGGGCACACTCCTACAAGGAACAGAGAAAGGTTCAACTGTGCTTTGGGCTGAAGGATGTTAGGGATCAAAAGTGGCGCCCCTCCTGCCTGCTTCTGTAAGCTCTGCTTGCTGGTGCTGAGGATGAATTGTGTTTTTCTCCAGAGCATTTCCAAGCCTCATGGCTCTGGGGTTTGTTGTGATCCTTTTCTCTAGAGCTGTTTCCACCCCCTGTGCTGACAGCAAGCCCCACCAACTTCATCGAGGGGAGGGCGGTGACCCTGACCTGTCTGACCCAGCCCGTTCCACAGAGGCCAAATGTACAGCTCCAGTTCCAGTTCCTCAGAGATAGCTGGACCCTGGAATCAGACTGGCGCAGCTCCCCAGAATTCCAGATCACCACCATATGGAGAGAAGACTCAAGGTCTTCCTACTGGTGCCAGGCACGGAGAGTGACTTCCCTTGTCCACAAAAAGAGCCAGAGATTCCAGATGCATGTGCAAAGTGAGTGTCAGTGGGTTCTGAGATCTGCTGAGACTGGGACTGGGAAGAGCCATCGGAGAGTGTCTCACATCAGTTTGTGCCACTGGTCTATGTGGAAAGGGTTTCTTGTGCCTGTGAGGATGGGAGCAGTATAAGAGAAGAAACCCTAATTCTGTGGACATTTTAGAGGAGCTTATACCCAGAAAAGTCCAGAGAAAGAGAGATGGGTTTATTTTCTTTCTTTCAATATCGTGAGATATAATTCTTTCTTTTTCCTCTGAAGGTTCTCTTCCTAAACACCATTCTTACCCCTGGTAGGTCTGCAGGCATTAGCTATGAGCTATGGCAGAGCTCTTTGACTGGGCTGATTGGACTCTGCTGGGCCAGAGAGACAGACTCTAGAATGCTAGATGCCCGGAGCAGAGCACTTAAGAATAAGAAAACCAAAGTACAACAGCTTGGGGATAAATGGTTCCACTCGCTATCCTTAGGGATGGAGTTGTACCCACCATCAGTTTTCCCTAAGTCTCTGAGACTTTGCAGGTTCTCAGTCATGACTGCTAATCGATGGTCAAATGCCTCTTCTGATTAAATCTGACGTGCCTCAGAGGAAACGTGTTTGAGCATTAGGAAGGAGGCACAGTCTGGGGTGCATGCTTTCCTGAGTGAGGAAGGAGTGACAGTGGTAGCATTCTCCATAAATTCACTCTGGTTCCTAAGCAACAAAGAACGTTCTATGACCCTGTTTCTTCTGAGCTGCCCAGATTTGATTAATCTTTGTTCTCCAGTCACAGGCAGCAGGTGTTTCTTAGGTCACTGGTTTGGACTGGAAAATTGAGAGGTGGAGAGGCTGTTACCCAGCAGTTGCAACACAGTAATTTCTAGCACAGGATCTCCCCCAGCATAACTGATGGAGCCCCAACCTCAAGCCCTACTCTTTCTCTGTTCCCAGGTATCTCCCTTTGCTCCTCCAGCCCCACAGGATGACTCCAAAGGGCACTGCCCTAAGACAACATCGTAGTATAAAACCACAATCACCTGGAGTATGGAACACTTTCATCACAGATTTTGCCACTTTTAGGAGGGCTGTCATGGGTCCACCTCCTCTGACCTTCTGATAGGCAGAGGTGTTCAGAAGTGCGTGCTTGCGAGCAAGCTTACTGTATGTGTTAATGATGGGTCTCCAACTGGCCACTGCAGCTGCCACAGCTTCAGAACAAGCACCTCTGATGCCAAGTCGTTCTGTCCCCCGCACCATCCCCACCACCTCCTCCAAGCAGCACCACTGTTGAGTCCTGGGTATAATTTGCAGAATGGCTGGTCCATGCTCTAGCAGGGGATAGGCCGGGCATGAGGGGAGGGTGGGCAGGGTTGCCTCTACTCCTTGTGCAAGATGCTCCACAAGATCATTAGGAAGTAGAAGTTCTCCCAAACAATCAATGGAGGGATCACAGTCTCTCCACTTTCTCCCTCTTCCCAAAGAACAAGCTCAGCTCCACCCCAGGCCAACTTCTCTCACTGGATTAGCAATTTAGCTCTTTTCACTCTTCTCCAACCATGGGCACTCCAATGCCAACAATCCCACATGTCATTTTTATTCATTTAGGCGTTACTGCCGAAATCCGAATATACACCTACCCAGAGTTGCCACTTAAAGGGCAGAAGCTGGTTATCATCTGCTCAGTAGGTGGAATCCAAGAGCCCATCACATTCTTCTGGTACAAAAGAACCAACAAGCTGAGCCGGAGAACAAAGATTCATACTTCCTCAGAAAGAGAGTTCAGGATCCCTGTGTTGACAGACAGCCATGCTGGAGAGTATTGCTGTGTTGCCAGAAACCGTCACCAATCCTTCTTCAGCGACTTAGTGACAGTCAATGTGAAAGGTATGTCTGCTAGACAGCATCTGAGGAATGGGTTTTTGTGATGACTACGAGGTGGTCGGGTGGGAGTGGATGTCAATAGCCACCAATAGTTTACTACTCTCAACAATCTACCAGAACTTAGAGACCAGCAGGAGTTAGGATAGAAGGGGCTATGGGGGCTTTTGGAGGTCAAGAAAATACTCAGTGTTGAATATAAGGCTACACTCTTCATTTTTACAAATTACTTTTTCATTTAATGCAATGGTTCCTGGGATAAAGCCAGAACAAATAGAATTTTGGAACCAGAATGATCTGGGACCATGTCTCTTGACAAGCCTCCTTAATTTAAGTATGTGCCATGACACTCCCTACTAACTTGCTGTCTCTTTCAGTCCCAGTGACACATCCTTTCCTTGTCTTCAGGGCTCCTAGGGCACAGGGGTGCTGGGAAGATTGAGCTAGAGCTTCAGAGTGCCACTGTGAAACCAATCCTACATCAGTTTTATCATGAGGCTGAAATCCTGAGGACCCTGGGTCCCTATAGTAGAGGAGCATCCATGAATCTCTCTGCCCACAGAATATCCTGGGAATGATTCCTGTGCTCAGACAATGGCCTGGGGACCCAGGCGGCAAGGAGGGGCCACTCTCATCAGAAGTGAGTTAACTCTGATCACCAGAAGTCACAGCCAGGGTCAGGGTGTAAGTGCCCCCCACAATCTAAAGACTGCAGCTACAGAAATTCACAGGCTTTTTTTGGCTCATATGACATCATGGCAGGCTCACTGCCTCTGCTTGGTAGACCTGAGTGCCTTGCTGTGACTACACTCTCAGGAACTCAGGAATACCTTAGAGTGGATTATCAACAGGAAAATGCACAGTCTGACCAAAATGTTCCTAACAAAGCTATGAAGACTTTCCAGAGTTTCCCAGATTCTGTCAGATCAGTAATCTCTGGCCAAAGAGAAATTGCAGAGCCCAGCATCACCTCATTTAGATGATACTCAGTCCTTTGTTTTCCTGTCAGTCAGAAAAAAAGTCCAGCCATTCCTGGTTCCAGCCTTCCTCCTACTGCTACCCAACAAGCCTTTACTCCCTTATCCGTTTCCTGTTCTTCCTCAAGTCACCTATAATACGCTGCTTAAGCTGCCATAACAAAATACCACAGACTGGCTGGCTTAGACAACAGTTTATTTTCTCACAGTTCTGGAGGTAAAAAGTTCAAGATCAAGGTCCCAGTAGGATTGGTGGCTCTCTTCTTGGCCTGCAGCCACCTTCTCTCTGTGTCCTCACATGACCTTTCCTCTGTGCAGTCGGGAGAGAGAATTCTCTGGAATCTCTTCCTCTTCTATAAGGACACCAGTCCTGTCTGATTAGGGCCCCACCCTTATAATCTCATTTAACCTTAATTATTTTCTTAAAGGCCCTATCTCCAAATACAGCCACATTGGGAATTAGGGCTTCAACATACATATTTGGGAGGGACACAATTCAGTCCATAACACCATCCAAACGTCCCCATTGGCTCCCAGGTCTTTGAACAAGTGTCTCTATTGTGTGGGCCTTATTCTTCGACCAGTTCAGATACCATCACATCCCTTAATGTGTCAGCAGCACCTCTCTCCCGCTCCACCCTCCCTCACCCACCTTGGTCCCTGGCATCTGTAGAACTCACTGTTTTTCTCTCATCCTTCTCTGTCTTCCCAGATGCTTGAGTTTTCAGTCAATCTTAGTAGTTCCCAAATCATTTCTCTTTCCAAGGAATATGGAGATATCTGTCATCTGACTCAAGTTAATTATTGGCAATAACAATGTGAAAATCCATGTAGGACACAAGACAGGTAGTGACATGGTGTTTATGCCAAATATGTGACTGTGGTGGTAGGAAGAACCCCAGACTACATCACCTCCTCTCCCAGTATCTAATGCCATCTTACCTTCAAAGCTGTTGTGGTAGTTGTGGTAGTGAGAGGGAAACAGCTTCTACAGAGCCCTGTGCTGTTCCCTTCACTGCTGGGAAATTCCAGGCCCACTTTTAAGGAGACGATGTGATTCAGCACTGAACCAGAAGTCAGAAGACAGACTTAGGTCCTGTCAGGCCCTGGAAACAGCCTGCTGAGTGACCAGAGGTAGATTTCCTAACATCTTCCGGGCTCAGCTTTCTCACCTGTACGGTCAAGCTGGATGCAGGGAGATTATAAGAACAGAGGAGAGGGTCCTGAAAGAGTATGTGAATCTGGCAGGGAAAAGGACCCAGGGTAGAGCCCTGAAGTCCACCCCAGTGAAGGAAGAAATGGAGAGCAGGTACTGACAAGAAGACTCAGGATGGCTTGGGAAGGTGAGGGAAGAGCTCTTCCATGGTCATATAGCAAAGGGAAGGGACAAGTTATGTTGGTCTGGTGGCAGGAAAAGAATGGACCTCTTCCCTGAGAGCATCATTTCCTCTGGAAAATGGGAGAAAGGTCACCTAACAAGGGGCCAGGAGAGGAGAAGGGGAGAAGGGGCCAGGTCTGATGTGAAAGAGAAAGACCAACATGGAGAGGAGGAACGAGCTGAGGAGAATAGCCTGGGGGATGCTGGGCTGCCCCAAGGGCCAGTGGAGAGGAGACCTGACACTTCATTAGCCACTGATTGAAACCTACAGGCAGAAGCAACAGTTGACTAAGTTTTTCTCTCCCCCAGTTCCTGTGTCTCCTCCCATCCTCACCCTCAGCCCTCCTGGTGCCCGGACTCTTGAAGGAGATGTGGTGACACTTCTCTGTGAAGTTCAGAGAGGTTCTCTGCCCATCTCGTATCAGCTTTTTCGTAAAGGTGTGTTGCTCAAGAAGATAGGAGCCACTTCATGGAGGACAACCTCCTTTCAGTTATTTCTGACTGAAGAACATTCTGGAAACTACTACTGCACAGCTGACAATGGCTTTGGTCCCCAGCACAGTACAGCCATGAGCCTCTCTGTCTATGGTAAGCCTTGGATGGCTGCTGCTGAACCATCCTTGACCCTGATCCCTCTTGCACCAATCCCTTCAAAGCTCTGCGTGGATCTTCCAGTTTCCTTCAATCAACCTAATGCCTCTCTTAGCTCCTTTCTCGTAGAACCAGCTATCTGTGGACCTCAGTCCTCATTCAGCACAGGCTCAGCCAGACCCCTCAGATAACTCAGCATATTCCCCAGCTTTTGCCAAGTGAATTTTTTCCCTCAAATTATCTTCTCATGCCCTGTACGCTCAGTCTCCAAGCCAATTTCTCTTAACTCGATTCACAGAAGCATCTCCTGTTTCCCCACTGACACGTATTAATTTAGCTACAAGCACAGTCATATGGACAGAGAGTGGGCAAGACTTTACTTTCTCTAAAAAGTTCTGGAGCAGTTTAAGCTCTCACAATAGGTTTGAAGAGGGCTGAAGTTGAGGGGAAGGGAGGAAGCAGCTTCCTGGAAAACAGCTTGTTGGTTTTCTGGGGTTTCCAAGATCCCTTGTCTCAACCCATTAAAATAAGTGTCATTTCATTGTAGTTTGTCTTTTAAATTTTTGTTGCAGTATGACATACATTTATAAAAGTATACAAATTATAGGTGCACAGCTCATGGTTACCCATGTACCCATGAAAAAGTGTCATTTTAGGAGCAAAATTGCTTCTCTTTACACCTGGATCTTTGTTTAGTAGAGAGTGAAAGTTCACTTTTTCTTCTCAGAAAAGCAGAAGTATGGGTAGAAAAAATCTTGCTTTTGGTACATCGGCCCATTTTAGATCACAAGAAAAGATACCCCAGTATCTCCACAAAGCACTGGTTACAAACGCAGGTTTTCTGGTTCTCATTTCTATTCTTCTGCTTTTGTATTCAACACATTGTAGCTCAGTGGGCAAGGATGTGTTGTAGGGATAGCCAGGGGGTAAAAACAAATAAAACAGGTTATACTGGTACCTAGTGTTCTCTACTTCGAGGTCCATCGCCTACTTTCTTTCTGTGTCTTTCTGCCCCATTGCCCTAAGCGTTTTCCCTTCTCCATCCCTGTATCTTGTGGCTTATCTTTACTCAAACCTTCTGCTAATTCCAGCATTAACTGCCTCAGACTTCTGAGTATGATGTTCCTGCTGCGTATTTCAGTGTCTGCCCCACCTGCCAATGCTGTATGACTCACTGCCAAGACAGTGGCTCGAACTAGTCTTCTAACTAGCCTAACTAGCCGAGATACCACATAGGCCACTGGCAAGTCCGTAGGTGCAAAGTTCTTAGACCAACTGCCCACCTCTAGCTCAACAGAGCTGGAAAAGTCCCTCCCCTGACTGTCCCCTCTGAGGAATGATGGCCAAGATAGTAGGGTGTCTTGGGACAACATGACATCACTATGTTTAAGAAAATGCTTTTTCTAAGAAATTTCTATGTACAACAGGAACTCTGAGGTTTCCTAAAAAGAGCCAATGTACACACACAAAAAAAAACAACCTGCTTGGGTTGTCTGATATAAGTGTAGGTCAGAAAACCTGAATTCTAGCTCCAGCTGTGAAAATACTAGTTCATAATTTGGGCAAAACTTTTAAACTTTCTTTGTCTTACTGTTTTTACCTTCTGTTGAGAGTTAGATAAGACAGTATCCTTTAGAGCCCCAGAATTCTGTGATTTGAGTTGGAATAGGAACCCAAAGGCCATGAATTCTTGAAGTTCTGGAAGAAATCAAGTGAGGGAAAAACTAAGCAATACTCATCGAAGCCCCAGACAAGATGACCAGGGAAATCTGCAGGTGCCCCAAAGCTGGGCTTGTTTACCTGGCAAAGCAAGGGAGAGCACCACCTTGACAGAGTCCCATCACCCCTCCTAGGGGGGAGTCAGGGGAGGTACTTTTAGGGTTTGGGGAGCGGGGAATAGTCAGAGTGGGATTGTGACTGTAAGAGCGGTCCGGGCAGAATTTGTAAATTAAGCGAGTTGTTGTCTGTGGTCTTAGAGATCCATGAGTTCTTTTGGAATTCTTATTACTACGGTCCTATCTTGGAACATATGGATCTGAAAGATCTCTTGCTCCTTGATAGCTCTTGTTTCAGGTCATGGAATTAAAACATGGCTAAAGGAAGACATCACCCACCCCAAAAATTGTTGGCCAAAGAGATTATCTAAGAAATGTAAAAGCTCTGAGACTTAGACTCCAAAGCCTGAACCCAGGAAAGCCCCAAGCCCTAAGACATCCTCTGTCTCATTATCATGTTGTACTTTCTTCTCAAACTTAGTAATATCTAAAACCTCTTTATTTCCTGTTTCATGTCTATATCCCTCAACACCAGAATATAAGCCTCATGAGAATGAAACCTTACCGGTTTTCATCTGCACCTCATCCCTGTGCCTACTTGGTGTCTGGCACAGAGTAAGTCCTCAGTCAGCGTTTGTAATTCCATGAACAAGTGGTGAGATGAGGAAGAAGAGAGCAGGGAGAGAACACTGATCTTTGCATCTGCTAATATCAACTGAACAGACATAAATGAGCCCCATATTAGCAAACAAGTAGTCCATGAGCTGAGAAACTTCACTGTGAGCCATGCAGACTTTCTGGCAGAATAATGTTTTTTATTTTTCCCCAAGGGAATATACCCCAAAGAGAAGACATGGGAATTTCATGGGAATGTGATCTGTTAAGATATACCCAGTTTGAATTTATCAATAGCCCTAGGTCACTGAAACACACACACACACACACAGAGCATTCTCAAACAAATACAACACTCTGAATATAACTTTATTTATTGAAAGATAAGGCATAAACAAACAAACAAAAAAGTCCAATATGGGAATCTCTGCATTTAAAATTATGAGAAGGAAAGAAAGGGCACACAATCCATAATACTTTTCAAAAGAAGAATTGCTTTAGGAAACGGAAAAAAATTCTTCTGGATATTCTTGATACAATTAAAGAAAAATACAGATTCCATCAGGGGAAGTACAAAGGGGAATTTAAGTTAAAGAAGAGATGATAAGATAACAGAAAAAATACGTATGTCTAGCAGAGCTCAGGAGAAAAACCAAAGAAAATAACAAAGCTATTTTGGAAATAAAATCCAAAGTTGAAGCAGAAAGAAGAGAATTCTGAAAGCTATTAATAGAATGGAGAATTGGTTTGAGGAAATAATATAGAACGCAAAATAGAAACACACAGAAGAAGGTAAAAAGAAAAAGAAATTAAAATATGGATGTCAGACAATGAAGACCACAAATGTGGGAAATTAAGGTCTTTAGGTTTGAAAATCAAATTGAAGAGAAAAACAAAACTCAAAGATGTAATAAACAAATTTCCTGAAGTGAAGAAAACTTGAATGTGTAGATCAAAAGATGTATCCTAATGAGGTTATTGAACTTGAAGGCTAAAAATATAGTTATGTGTGTGTGTATAATCACGACAAATTAAAAAAGTAGTCATCTCAGAAAGAAAACATACTAAGCTGGTCTCAGACTTTCCACAGAAGTCAATACTAAAAGAGAGGAAGAGTGTCTGGACTTACACTTTCAGGGAGGGATGAGAACTGAGAATTTTATATCAAATAAAAAAGACATTTTCAAACATTCAGAGATTCAAACTTAGTACCCATTAACCCTTCTTAAAATAGTACTTGATGACAAACTCTAGCTAGCCAAGGTTTGAATCAGTATGAAAGACTCAAAACAAGGAAACTGTGATATGGAAAGTGAATACTGAATCTCTTCAGACCAGTATTTCTCAGCTTTGGTTGTATATTAGAATCACCTAGGAACTTTGGAAAAATAACTTATTACTAAGCCTTCTGCAGATGAATTAAATTCAGAATCCTCAGCTGGGACCTCAGAATCCATATGGTTACCGAATAGAAAGGAACTATTATAAATGAAAAAAGTGTAAAAAATATATGTAACAAAGAAAAATCAGTCAGAGGGAGAAGAAATAAAAATAATTTTCTCATGATTATTATTTCATAATGAAGAACAAAAAATTGACTTGATAATTTAGAAAAACTAATGACAGATTTCAAAATTTTCATTTTGTAAATAATTTCTGAATTCTTTATAGACTGCAGCTCATCATTAATGGATTATGGGATTATAGTTCACTAGCAGTCCATAAAAAAAAAATCAAGTAGTAAACTATAAGGTCTTATGGGAGAGAATGAGTCAATCTTCACATGGAACCACTGTACAGTTTAAGACTAGGAAAAGAGAAATAATAAAAAAAATAAGCCTGTGCAGTTATATGACTGTATTTGATCAGAGTGTGAGGAGCAGAAACTCTTATATATTATTAGTGCAATTGTAAATTGGTTGAAACTTTTTGAAGAACAATTTAGCATTACATATCATTATTTGAAATGCCCATATCCCTCATCCTAGAAATCCCATTTTTAAGAATTTATCCTAAGAAATGCACTGACAAAATACAATTTTATATGTATATATATATATATATATATGGATTGGGTAATGTGGCAGTTATTTGAAATTAGAAAAAAATACCAACCTAAAGATGCATAATGGGGAATTGCTTAAGTGTAGTACAGTAAATTCATACAATGGGATGATTTGTGGTTGTTAAAATAAGCAATAATACCCCAAATTATCGAATGTTAAATTTAAAAGAGTTGCATTTTTGCATGTAAATTATACTTCAATAAAGCTGATTTTTTTTTTTTTTTTTAGTGAATGAGATAGACTTTAAGTAATAACACAGACTGATGCCCATGGTATTTTGCTAAGGGGAAAAATCAGGTTGTAGACCAGTATACATACATAGTGACTCCATGCTTGTATGTGGGAGTTTTATGCATTTATGTATGTGGTGATATGAATGAGTGTTCTTATACGTAGAAAAGATCTAGAAAGTGTCACCAAATAATCAACAGAGGTAATCTTTGGAAAATAAAGGCAATGGGGAAAAATCCTGGTGTCCACTAACTCATTTTTGTCCTCAGTTCCAGTGTCTCGCCCTGTCCTCACCCTCAGGACTCCCAGGGCCCAGACTGTGGAGGGGAACATGGTGGAGCTTCACTGTGAAGCCCAGAGAGGCTCTCCTCCGATCCAGTACCAGCTTTTCCATGAAGATGTCGCCCTGGAGAGCAGCTCCAGCCCTTTTGGCAGGGGAGCAACCTTCAACCTCTTTCTGAAGGCAGAGCATTCTGGGAACTACATCTGTCAGGCCAACAATGGCCTGGGGGTCCAGCGCAGTGACACAGTGTCACTCAGTGTCAGAGGTAAGTGGACCCAACTACAGCACAACCAGGGGCCAACCATCTACCCCACCTTCCCCAGGAGCCGAGTTTGGAGGTACCCCAGCGCCATTTGCTGTGTGACATCATTGCAAGCCTGCTGCCGACACAGCCTCCATCGGAGAGTTCTGTATTGTACATTTTCGGGAACTTGCACCTTCCCTTTGCTTGCTTTATCTCTCCTACTAGCAACACTACGGCCATCGTGACTAAAATTTCCCTAACGTAGGAGTAAAGGCTTTTACAACACAAACTGCATCCTGGCCAAGAATGATCAGCAAAAAAGGAAATTATAAAGTTCAGCGTGTCTCACCTCAGAAGAGATTTCGTTGGGGTTTCCTCTGCCTGTCAGTCAATAAAAAGGCCAGCTCATTCTTTCATCTGCTTGTGAATTTCTCTCTAGCTTCTCCTGCCCCTGTCCCAGAACAGCTCAGACCCCTCCCAAAACTCTTGCTAGAAGACTTCTCAACATCGTTCCCCTGACTCTTACCTGTCATTCAGCTGGAGCACGCTCTCTCCCACCCAGCCCTCTCGTGGACTGATCTAGTCGTGTCCACTTTCAGTGCAGGCTTGACACCTCACCCATAGTCTTCCTCTCCACCCTGCAATCCTCCCATCGCTCCATGACTCTAATGTCCACATGGATGAGCCACTCACTACCACGGCTTGTCATTCTTTCCACATCAGCCACCCACTCCCACACGCATACATGACTCCGGTTGCCCGACCACAACCTCCCATCATTCTACTTGCTTCTTCCACTCCTCCAATCACTCAGACTCCAACAGAACCCCCAGTTCACTAGCACTTTGACTTCCTCCCAGACAATCGCACCCTTGACTTCCACCACCATGTCGAGTGTCTCTGTACCCACCCAGTAACTTATCCCTCCTCTTGCTAAGGTACAGGATAGAAGACTGTGCTTCCGATGAAAAGTGAAAATCCCTATCTGATCTCTAGAGTCCACCCTTTCCTGTATTCTCAAGAAACAACTGAACAACCAACTGTCCCCTTCTCTCTTATGTCCCCCAGCATCTCCTGCTCTGTAGGATCCTTCCCGTTGACATTTAACACACTACATCTCTCGTATGTCTAAGAAAAACCTCCCACTTGAGACTGTATATCAAAAATACTCCAAACTATATATAACACTATGCAAATGATGCTATTTCTTCAGATCTGGAGAAATCATAGCTGAATTCTAAGAGATGTCACAAGGCCATTAAAAACTGAGAAAAATATTTTCCTGTTTGAAATGTTTTGTCTATAGAGGAACATATTTAAATAGTAAGAAGTAACAATTAACTATTTTTCTTCCCTCAGTTCCAGTGTCTCGCCCTGTCCTCACCCTCAGGACTCCCAGGGCCCAGGCTGTGGAGGGGGACATGGTGGAGCTTCACTGTGAGGCCCAGAGAGGCTCTTCCCCAATCCTGTACCAGTTTTTCCATGAGGATGTCGCCCTGGGGAGCAGATCCAGCCCCTCTGGAGGAGGAGCGCCCTTCAACCTCTCTCTGACGGCAGAGCATTCTGGGAACTACTCCTGCAAAGCTGACAATGGCCTGGGGGCCCAGCGTAGTGAGGTGATGACACTCAGTGTCATAGGTGAGTTGGCCCTGCCCACAAGCAGCATAACCGAGGACTGACTGCCTTCTCTCCCCGGTAGCTGAACTGAAGCTCCAGCACCCCTATGTGCTGGTGTGACAGCCCAGCATACTTCCTGCCTATAGAAGCTCCGTTTGAAAGTCTGGGATCCTTCCCGTGGCTATAGTCTCAGGAATCTGGAGCTTCCCAGCAGCATCATTCAAGAAGTCTTCTCAAATGGGATCAAATGCAAAGAAGATTTTTAGAACACAGACTATATTCCGATCTGCAATTATGATACAAAAGGGAAACTAAAGAATTCTAAGTATAGTCTTTCTTCTCCAAAAAAGGTTTGGCCATTCTTTACGCAGGTTTTTGTTTGTTTTTGTTTTTTCATTGACTCCCAACAAGCTGTTGCATTTCTTTCACTAACAGGGGTATAAATATGCCTCACATTCTGTATTAAAATTCTATGTTAACATTAGCTAGGTGCTGGCTTTAAGGGCATACAATCGATCCAAGTTAGTTTATAAAGTAATTCTTAAAGTGGTGGGGACACAGAGGTGAAAGCAGGATGACATGGAATGGAAATGGCCACCCATCAATCAAATTCCTTCATCCCCTTAGCCATCCTTTGACATCTTGGTATTAAGTGCAATAACCAAAGGAAACCTGCTTCTTGTGAGCTCTGAATCTGTTTCATGATCACCTCCTATAGGCCTAAACTAGGGTATAGCAGAAGTGTACTAGGAGCTGTTGAGATAGAAGTTCTAGTCTTGGCTCTGAAGATAACTAGCTGTATGACCTTGGCCAAGCATATTTCCCTATATCGTCCTCAATTTCTTCACTCACAGAGTGGCAAAATCGAACTAGATGAGTATTATGATCATCCCCAGCCCTAAAATTCTATGATTTGGGTGCACAGGGAATATGGAGTATTTTAGACTCAGAAGTTTCTGGAAGGAGACCTGTAAAAGAAGACTGCTCCTAGGATACATCCCAGAGAAACAGGAGACCATCAAATAGTACGCAAACACTCTCTGAAGTACATAGAGCAAAATACAGGCTGCCACTCTTAGTCTCTCTTGGTTAGGTCCTTGGGTATTTAAAGAAACAGAGACAAAGTCACATGAGCAGGTTGATTTGGGGATACCAGGCCAGGATTCAACATCTCAAGGTGGCTGGAGGAGCCATCTCTTTAGCATCCAGGAGGCAACTTGATTTTTTCCATTAAGCCAGTCCATTCTTCTTCCCCCACTGGCAGGCAGCACCTACCTTGGCCAGTTTTCCGCTAAGATTCACAGGGACTCTTACCCCGTGGTTTACATACTTACTTCTTAGATCCACCACTAAGATGTACTGCTGACCAAGTGCCACATCCTCTCTCTTCACAGCGCAGTGGACCAGCACATCACACCCCTCACACTCTGCATTCATGATTTTCTGCACATCTGCTATCCTTTTTTGATACAATACCCTGGTGCAAATGTATGTTATTTCTGCTGCTGCTATCACACCTAAAAGACTTCTTGTTAGATGAACTGTATCTGAGTCCTAGAACTAGAACACAGATCATGGAGATCTGCAAGAATTTCTCATTGTCGTGGTCACTACCATCATCATCACCATCACCACCATCATCATTGTCATCATCAGCACTGACGGAGCCGTTGCACATGCCAGACCTTGTGCTTAGTACCTGATATGCTATAGCTCATTTAATCTTTACAATAAACCAGTGAGGTTAAAAATGAAATCATTTTTATCCTCAACTTACAGGAGAGGAAACTGAAGCTTAGGGAAGTGAAGTAACTAGCTTACAGACACAGCTAGCAATGCTAAAGTCAGACTGAAACATGAACCTTAAGGTTACATGCACCCTTAACGTAAGTCTACATTATGACATCTCCCATCCTTTGTGACCATGCTGTAACACGACTTTTTAGCTTTTAATAATTTACTACTCTGAAAGAATACATAAATCTTCATGATACAGAAGTCAAATAGAACAAAAGGGACAACATGAAAAATCAAGATCTCTTTCTACTTGCATCCATACACTTTCACATTCACATGCTTCCAAGACATAACTGCTATAAATACTTTCAGGCATATGTTTCTAGAAATATTAAAATGTATTATAAACATAAAGGCATAGAAATTTTTTTTTACAAAAGTAGAATCATATTACCCATATACTTAATGCAACTTGCACTTTTCACTTTAAGTATATCTTGGGTATCTTTCATACTTTATTAGCCAGTCAACTAGGTTGTCTTCAGGTTTTAGCTATCATAAAAATTCTACAATAGAAATCCTTGTGCATTTATCTTTGCATATCTTATGTTAGTGTCCCTAAAGGAAATAGTCTTAGAAGTAGATTTGCTGGATCAAATTTATGTGCCTTTTAAATTCAGTAGATATTGCCATATCAAGGAAGAGTCTCAAATTTGCATTCTGACCTAGAACATATCAAGGTGCCTGTTAGTCCACAACCTCATCCATATTATGTGTCTTTTTAAGCTTTGCCTATCTAATGGGTGTTTTTACTTGTATACGTTAATTAGTGATGAAGATGATAATCTCTGTATACGTTTATTGGCTGTTTGAAGTTTTTACTGATTCATACCCTTTTTCATTTTCCTGCTGGATGTTTTTGTGCATTGAAAACTGTTTGTAGATTCAGGTCATTAACTTTGTCATATGTGTTTTAGTCTGTTTTCCTAGATTGAGATCTGACTTATTATTTGTTTATATTCTTTTTTCACTTATGAATACGCTAGAACTAGAAATTGCTATTGACTTTCTGTTTTCCCTCAGTTCCAGTGTCTCGCCCTGTCCTAACTCTGAAGGTTCCCGGGGCCCAGGCTGTGGAGGGGGACATGGTGGAGCTTCTCTGTGAGGCCCAGAGAGGCTCTCCTCCCATCCTGTACCGGTTTTATCATGAGAATGTCACCCTGGAGAGCAGTGTATCCCACTCTGGACAAGGAGTGTCCTTCAACCTCTCAGTGACTGCAGAACATTCTGGGAACTACTCCTGTGAGGTTGACAATGGCCTGGGTCCCCAGTGCAGTGAGGCAGTGACACTTCACATCACTGGTAAGTTTCCTATGCCCAGGCCACAGATGTGGGCAAAGTATTTCCTCCAAAGATACTCTGATAATCCTCATTGATGTTTGACCAGGACAGTGCCTCTCAGGGACCAGTACACAAATCTGGAAGGTCTCTAAATTGCTGTTTTCAGAAGTATTTCTGGAGCCATAGCACCCGGGTGGAAGAGGGAGGGCCAAAGAGGATCACCGAGTTTAATGTGCATCAGCTGGCACTGTCCATCGGGGCCCTCAAGCCCTGCACCAGCCCCTTCCCACCCCAGCACCTGCTCAGCCTCAGGGGTCCTGGTTCCGCAGGCTCATCCTCCCTCCCAGCATCAGCTCCAGGGGTCGGGGTAGCTCAAGACCACAAGCCTCTCCCTCTGGCTCATGCTTGGGGTCTCCCTCTCAGGGCTGACAGGGAGCAGAATTGGCCCTGTTGCCACCGGTGTCACCGGGGGGCTGCTCAGCATCATGGGTCTTGCTGCCGTGGCACTCCTGCTCTATGGCTGGCCCCTAAGAAAAGCAGGTGGGTACCTCCCTGGATAACCTCTGCCTGAGTCCCTGTCCTTCCCATCTCCATTCCCTCAGGCTCATGCTGCCTTTGTGACCACCCCTAAGCTCTCAACAGCTCCTCCCCACACAATTCCACAGCCCTCACCGTCCCTTCTTGGGCCTCCAGAGTTTGCCTTTTCAAATGCGAAGTTTCCAAAGCAGCCCTATTGTGTAGACAATGACTTCACATGACAAACTGCCATGTATCTCCCTCTCTACCCTTACAAGACCCCCAGGGAATGGGAAGAGAAAAAAAAAACTCTGAGGAATAGGAGTGAGAACAGAAACCAAATGGAATTTGATAACTTACTGATTTTTCTAAATGCTCAGTACTTTCATAGCAGATCAAGTCTATTTTCCCACATTCAGCTGTTGACCATTATTCTTCAAACTCCAGGTTAAAGGGTAATGGATTGTGGGCTTTTGTATTGTAACTAGACTCCTCCTGGAAGCCAGGAACAGTAGTTTTTGCCCTATCTGCCACTGCCCTTGGACATAACAAAGACGGGTTCACATTTTAGTGACAGCAACTCCTGCAGGCTCTAGGTAAACTTCCTATGAGCTGTGCTCCCTGTGAAGTTCTCTTTCTCCCAGATCCAATGCCTCTCTGCTTTCCTTTGCAGGAAGAAGGCCTACCTCTGACTCCTCCAGGTAAGACCCTGGCTGTATTCCTGTGTGGTTAATAAAATGCCCATAGGGTATGAAAATAGAATTGAATCTGGTTCCTGCTGAGAGCACAGTCACTGCTTAATGTTACTGAGATGGGCTGTGCCAGTTTCTTGTTGCCACCTCCCCTGGGAGACCTCCAGAAAATTCCCAGGACCTTCTTACCCATCATCTTACCTAAATGGTCCTTTTTCTTGCAGCAAGTGTTGTTTTTTATTTATTAACTTACATCCTCGTTCAATTGTTGCCTTATTCATTGTTGTTTGTGTGACCACTACAACCACTAAATTGATCCATGTCTTAAGATGATCTCAGCTTTATCCACCTGGGGAGCTCTGGCCATGGCCAACCCAGCCTAACCAACACCTGTTGTGATGACAGCCAAGAAGGTGGAGTCACACAACTCGATCACCCAGAGAGACCTCTCTGCTAACAGGAGGTTGTACCTGTGAAGAAGGGGCTGCCATCTTGGATCCCAAAAGCTGACTTGAGAAGCCACATCACAGCTCACAAACTATCCCTGGGCAAGCTCCCGGTAGCAGCATCCAAACCATCCAGAGTTCCTCTGAGCTGTTCTAATCACTGATTTCTCTGGGACACTGATCTCTCTGAGAGTCTAGGCCTTGGAGCCAGGTTTGAATCTTGGCTCTTTCCCTTTCCAATTACAAAGTCTCAAGCAAGTCACTTCATCCCTTGGAACCTCCATGTTTTCCATCTATAAAATAGAGATAATAGAATTGACTTAATATTGTTATAAGCACCAGCCCAATGCCTGGGACATACCGTGTGACCATAAAGTCTGGGAACATAGATAATATCAATTTATCACGATGTATAATATAATAGTCCATAGCAACAGACCATTTGTCATGTAGTTACCTATGTTTCCAGGATTGGCAACTATCCTGTGGTGAAGACTCACTCTCAGAGAGTGATCATTATGGCTACTTTGTCAGGATTCCTGGGAAACATCAACATTTCTGTCTCATAGGAACCCTTCAGACTCGGATTCCCAAGAGCCCACCTACCACAATGTACCGGCCTGGATAGAACTGCAGCCAGTGTACAGCAATGGTGAGGACTGAGGACCCTCCATTTGCACAGGGGCCCCAGGGTTGGTCCGGGAAGGAGTGGGACAGGAGATAAGGAAGGGTCAGTGCAGAAGCCTGGAGGGCTCTGCTCCCTTCAGAAAACCAGCTCTAGCTGGGGGTGGAGGAAGTAGCTCAGACAAGGGGCAAGAATCTTGAGAATCTTCTCAAACTTCAACTTCTTTCCAAGTAAATCCCAAAGGAGGAGACATAGTATACGCAGAAGTCCAGAGCATTCCGGGGAAGAGCAAACATGCAGGTAAGACCTGAGGACCTTTGATCTTGACAGTCGATTGCTATGTGTGGCTCCGTCTCCACCCTGTCAGCAGGTCTGGGCCAGTCAGACGCAGAGCTGCCCCTCAGGCTAGGTCACTGGGCTTCTTAACTTGCGCCCACCTACACTGCCGGGGTGGATCCAAGCTCACTGCGCAGCGCTGCTTTCTCCCATCTCTGTGGAAGTCCACCTAAGTAACAAAGCCACCCCCCAGGCAGTCACTGAACCTCTCGGAGCTTCGGTGTCCAGTCTGTGAAATGCGATAGGACTATCCATCATTCCCCATCTACCTGTGTCTGTTTCCTACTGCTGCTGTGGCAAATGACCGCCAACTTGATGGCATTAAGCAATACAATTAATTACCTTCCTGTGCTATAGGTCAGAAATCTAACACAGGTCTCATTGGGCTAAAAATCAGTCTTGGCAGGGCTGTGCTCCTTTGTGGACGCTCCAGGGGAGAATGTATTATTTCCCTGCCTTTTCCAGCTTCTAAACAGCACCGCTTTCTATGGCTTACGGCCCCACTCTCCATCTTCAAAGCCAGCAATATTGCATCTCTCTAACCATTCTTCCATAGTCAGGCCTCCCTCTGACCCCAACTAGGAAAAGTTCTCAGATTTTAAAGTTCTCCCTCAAATCCCACTCAGATAATCCCTCATTTCAAGGTCCTTAATCTTAATTGCATCTGCAAAAATTCCTTTTCCAGCTAAGGTCACATAGTCCCAGGTTCCAGGGATGAGGGCATGGACATTTTGTGGGAGATTTCATTCTGCCTACCACACTATCTCACGGAGCTTCTGTGGGGATCAAATACAAAAATGGATATGGAAATGCTATTACCACAGCAGAGATTAAGCAGCTCTTATGATGAGTCTCCACTGGTTGTCTGGCTGTGTCATCAGTCCTCAATCATGGGAGAAGATCTGCAATGAAAGATCCCAGGCTGGTTTCCTCTAGCTAGGAGCAGGAAATGGAGAGAACAGCCTTCGGGGCACACTTCTTTCTAACTCTATTCTGTAAAAAGTGCTGTATGATTTTAGCCACTTTGCTTCCTCCTTTGGTTTCGTTTTATTGTTATTGTTGTTGTTGTTTTAATGGAGGTACTAGGGATTGAACTCAGGAACCCAGGACCTAGTGCATGCTAAGCAGATGCTCTACAACTGAGCTACACCCACCACCTCCCCATCTCTGTTTTCTGATCCTTCCTGGATAAAGTCAAATGAACTGTTTTTTCCCATCCTTGGTTCAGTGGCCCACCCCTCACACACACGAACTCATTCACACTCACGAATTTCTTTGATGTGAGTATTGTTATTATCCCCATTTTACAGAGGAAGGAAATGAGGCAGAGAGATCTTAAATGACCAACCTGAAGTCACATAGCTAACAAATCACAAAGCAGTCTGTCAGAGTGCAAGCTTTGGACCAAGCTCTGCTTCTCAGGGCCATTCCAGGGAGCCCTGATGCTCATTCCAAACCCAAAGGAGAAAGCCCTGTTATATTTCATTCCAGTTTTAAGACAATATAACAATAATAATAGCTTCTAGCATCATATCAACATGTGTTGAGCAGTTCCTATATGTCTGGTACAGTCCTGAGTACTGTAAATAAACACATTATAAGTATATATGCCATAAACATATACACACATATACATTTGTAGTTTGTTTGTTTATAGAACTCAGAATTGTACCTGCACATTGGGACTGCTCAACACATGACACATACTAGAAATCGCATACAAATACACATACACATATACACTGATAGAAATTTACGAGAACCCTATAGGTAGATATTCCCATCATACAAGTGAGACGGCCGAGGCAAGGGGTATTGAGTGTATTGAGTGACTTGCCCAGGGCCACAAAGGTGGCACGTCTGACCAGGACTCAGTCTGGGGCGGTCTAGATCCAGACTCTGCTCTAAACTACCGCATTGCCTCTGCTCCAGGCCAGATGCTTTTCCATAACACACACAATGAATCTATGATCAAAGCAAGAGCAAAAGGTAGATTTCTTCCTTTTGCGAGCCCCTGGGGAGCTCAGCGTGGGGAACAAGGAGGGAAGTGCTGGTGAAGAGCGAGTAGATTGAAGCTGTGAGGCTGAGGGTCTTGGAAAAGGTGCGGCGGCAGCAGTCCCGGGCGGGCCCCACGGAGATGGCTGTGGCCGGGCTGACACAAGGAGAGGACTCTGAGCTCACCGCTGAATGCTTCCCTTCTCTCCACAGTGGCCTCCGCACCAGGGCTTCTCAAGAACACGATGAGTCCCACGACCTGTTTACCCTCCCACCTCCGGCCCGCCAGCCTCTGGCCCTCAGCTGCGTGCTCTCTCCCCCAGGATTCCTCTGTCATCTACTCCCAGGTGAAGGGCCCTTCAACCCCAGCCTCTGTGCCCCAGCTCATGGCTCCCTCGGCTCCTCACAGATGAGTCGACACAGCTCCCAACTGCTGTCTCAGCCTCTGCACCCCAAAGCCATCCTTGGGGGAGAAGGGACACCCAGGTGGGAAGAGTTAAAAGACCCCAGGCCACATCCAGTGGCCTCTGTGTCAAGTGCCCACACCCTAGACTGCACAGAACTCAGGGCCCTGCAGGACTCCAGCCTATTTGTGAATGACAGCCATGCCCTAGTGGTCCTTTTTCCTAATGACATGTTGCTCTCAACCCAGGGCCCCGCTGAGTCTCCTGGCTTCCTTAGTGGGCTTCAGCTTTGGTCACTCTTCTGAGTCCTGCTCACACACACATCCCCACCATTTCTCTATGAGACCCACTCCTGAACTCTGCTGTAGACAACCTGCTCTCAGTGGGTGATTTTCTCAGTTACCATCAGCTTGGTGGGGCTACTGTGGGGCTCTGCTAAACAGGACAGCACACGCCCCCAGAGACGCATGCCCTGGGCTCACTATGGACCTCCCCACACTGGGACGGCAGGATGGGACTTCTGCTCCCCATCTGCCCGTCTGAAACTCTAAGCTCAGCTCCTGACACTGGGCCAACTTCTCTCCTGCCCATGCGCCACTGTCTACACGCCCCAGGAAGTGGATTTCATACCCTGGGAACTAGATCCTTTCCATCCTGCCAGAAGTAACCCGGCACAGTCATGGCCAGGAGGACCAGAGATGCAAGTGAAATGCATATTGGAATATAGGAGATGTTCTATTACTGTATGATTGAATGAATAAATGAATGAATGAGGAAGATAGTATGGGTCATTACAATGCATTCTTGCCAGAAACTGGTATCTGATCCACTGTGCTCCCTAGGAAATCAAGGAAGTACTCTTTTCTCCTCCCTGAGTAGGAAATAAACTAAGGAAAGGAGTTTGGGTGAGAAAAGCTCCCTTCAGAAAGCAGGAAGCGTTCTTAAACTTTAAAGTGCTTATGGTTCACCTGGGGATCCTGTTAAAGGCAGACTCTCACTCAGTGGGTCTGGGCAGAGGCTAAGATCCTGAATTTATAACAAGCTTCTGCAAGATACTGACGCTGCCGATCCTAGGACCGTACTGAGTACAGGGCCCCGTGGGTCTTGGCAGAGGCCCATGGAGAAGCACCACGTGCTCTGGCAACCCACTGCCCAGCTCCGTGGGGGCCATTCACACAGACCACATGCTCCCCACGCTGCCCTTCCACTAGAAGGCCACCCGCTGCTGTTCCTGACAGAACTTCTCTGTGACATGCTAGGTTTCTTCCCCAACCCTGGGTAGGGAAAAAGTAGCTTCCACCATCTTTGTTTCCCCACCCCCAGGCCTCACGCGTTTCCACGAAGGGAATTAAAAAATACATCTCCTCCATTCAAAGTTGATCAACCTCACCTTTGAGCCATTGGCATATTTTATTCCATTTTTAGGATGAGCATCACACCTTATCTTAATCTCCACTCTCCAGGGGATTGTACAGGGGCTCATGTCCAAGCTCCATTGACCTGGAATAAAATCCTTCAAGGGACTTTCAAGGGCCTTCTCCACCTGGCACCACCTACTTCCCTCTCCAGACTTTCCCAAGGTGGTTGCCCTCCACACCCTTCCCTCAGTCATGGGATAACCTTCCCCATTTTCTAGCACAGCCTCTCTGCACTTCCTCCTCCTGGAAGGCCTTTCCCCGTCATTTGTATATACTAGAATCCTGCTCATTCCCCGGGCCCCAACTTAAAGGTCAGCTCCTATCAGAATTTATCCGTCTCTCCTTTGGGCTCCCTTAGCACTAATGGTTAATGTTTAATGAGAACTTAGAGTTTATCTAGGCCACTTCTCTTATTTTGTGGTTGGAAACTGAAGACTAGAGAGGAAGAGCAACTAGATGGAAATCACACATTCAGTTAGTGGCAAAGCACATACTGAGCTAAACCGAGGATTCCCAGCACCCAGGACGGAGTTCTTTCCTCTCCACGGCTCCTCTGCTATAGGTACCTGTGCTTTTTTCTGTTTCCCTGAAAGACTGAGAGTTCATTAAAAGCAAAGCCCAGATCCAATTTGTGTACATCCAGAGCCAACATAGTACCTGGCATTCAGTTGGTGCTCAATGAATGGTTGTCAAATTGAATGTTTATGAAGTCCCCTAATGCATAACGTCAGCTCCACAAATTCATCTATGTCATCGCCTGCTCTGTGTTAACCCAGAGAAGTGCAATGCATGTTCAGACCTCAGAGTTTTCTTTATAATGCCAATGGAATCATTGCTACTAGGTCCACCTGTCAGTTTGAGATGAATGTTACATCTTTTCAAAACCTGCATGACCCGCAGTATCTCAAATGCAACACCAACAACATGAAAAACCCAATCAGTTGTCCCCACAAAACTTGCTTCCCTTCCTGTGCTCTGTTCCTCCCTCCCTTCTTCCATTCTTCCTTCTTTCCTCTCTCACTTCCTTCCTTCATTTCCTCCTCCTCCTCCTTCTTCCTCTTCTATTTCTCTTTCTCCCTCTTTCTTTTTTCTTCTCCTTCATCTTTTTTTTTTCTACCTGAATATACCACTGTATCCAGTCACCCAAGACAGAAGATGCATAGCTATCTCTGAGTCCCTACATTGTATTGGCCACCCAGGCCAATCCAGTCAACTTTATTTGTGAAATGTCTCTCAGATCACACCCTCCTCTGAGTTCCCAGTACCACTGCCTTAGTACTGGCTTTCATCACCTACCACCAGGACTACTGTCATAGCCCCATAACTGGTTTCCCTACTTCCAGACTCTCTCCTTGCACAACCAGCCCCAACAGAGTTGCTAGTAGTATGACCTCCAAGAGTTGCTAATGTGACCTTTCTTCTGCTTATTCCTCTGCTTGAAATCCTTCAGTTGTCCAGAGTTCAGAGTCTATCATGGGATACAAGGCTCTTCATGATTTAACTCCAACTTACGTTTTCAGCATCCTCTCCCAATATTGCCTTTATTTGACAAGAACACATACCATGGGTTCCTGCCACACAAACTCTTTTTTTTTTCATTTCCTGCGCATACCACCTTCTTTCAAGCAGCTGTGGCTTTGCACAGTGCTTTCTTCTAATAACTTTCTTAGTAAATTTTTCTTAGTAACTTTCTTTTTTCCTAACAACTTTTTCCTAGTAACTTCCCCCTTTTTGTCTTGTCCAGCTCACTCTTCCTTCAAGACCTAGTTCAAATGTCACCACTCAGTGAGGTTTCACTTCTCTTTACGGGTTTCCATACCTATCGCATCTGTGTCTCCTATAGCCCTTACAAGAGTGTGTGTGTGTGTGTGTGTGTGTGTGTGTGTGTGTGTGCGTGTGCGTGCGCGTGTTTTCTTCTCTCCCTGGACTACTTAAAGTCTCCAGGACTAGTGTCATGACTAGTTCTAGTTTGTTGCCCTCCTCTCATCCTCACATCACCCTCAACCCACAACACAGGGCCTGGTTTATCATAGATGCTTAATTCACAGTAAATAAATGAATGTGCAACAGTGTTGAATGTACTTTACCTGTTGTCCTCAGGATAACACCTAAAACCCCAATCTGCACTCAACGTTTGATAGTAACTCACATGTTCTGAAGAGGAGCTTCTAGACACATCCCACAGGATTGACTCAGAAGTGGCCACTCGACCCCTGGTCACTTCCCTGGCTCCTTGCACACCCTCTGTCGGCTGATGTGTAGAGCTCACTGAGGGGGTGATGGGGAAGGAGATGGTGATCTGATGCAGGGCACTGGGCATTTCGCCTCCCTTCCCAACTCCAGTAAGGGGAAGGCAGGATTCCTAGATAATTGCTTAAAGAGGGGAAGCTGGCGCCTTCCCTCACCACTCAAGAATTGTTGAGCCTCGGGCACTCACAGGCCCTGGCTGTCCCCAGAGCAGAGCCCAGTGAGAGAGCTTGTAGGAGGTCTTGACATGAGCGTCCTGAGGTTTGGGGATGTTGGCGGGGAGCACTTTCTTCCCCACTCTTGTTGTTTCCTTTCATGGGGAGTTTCATTAGCATCACACTCTTGGCCTCTCATGGTTTTAGAAGGAGAACATGGGTGTGCATGGTCCAGCACCTCTGTCTTCCTTTTTCATGGCCAAGAGCAGCCCAATGGACCTTGTGTTCCCTCTGCCCTAAGTTTTGAAAGGATCTGTCTCTATAGAAATGTACTTACGGTTTCACAGGTGTAACCCCAACCTCAGAGTTTGGCTTAGGAGACTTCGAACCTTGAGAAATAAAAATAGAGAATTCAGGGGAACAGAATACACAGCAAGAGATGGAAACTTCTGCTCCAGCCAGGACGGATGGCTTTGTGCATTGGTGGTGCTCCCCAGGCATGGATCAGTGAAGTCTGGGTGTTTTTTGTTTTGTTTTGTATTTTTTACTGTGGTTCTTTATGGCAATTTATTGGAGCTGAGTTGGCTTTTGACTGCTGAAGTTGAGAACGGAGCTCAAAGCCTTAGGTTGTGCTGTTTTGTGGCACTAGAGCTTGGGCAAGTCTTCAACCAAAGGTTATAAGGCTGGGGATGTATTCACAAACAATTAAGCAATGGTGAGCAAGTGCACTGAACTCTTCTGGCTGCAAGGGCGCTAGACACAGCTTACACAATTCCTGTGGTTGTGAATCCAGGAAGCTACTTCTGCCAGTCAAGGATTCTAGTTCCTCCTGGCACTTGGCGGCATGACCTGCCAGCATCTCACTCACACACATGCCATGCACCTCCCACCTCCATGCCAAGACTCCTCTGTTGGGCTGAAGTGCAAGCGTGCAGGGAAGTTGACCTTGACAATGGGATATTGAAGGCAGTGGATTAATTTTGCTCCTTTTCTCCTCTCCACAACCCCTTCCCCAAATGCATTGTTCAGAGATGCAAAAGCTTTATTTGTATGACCTCTCTGAGGACACCCTGAGAGACCAAGTAGTCAATGTGTCGCAAAACTGTGGCCAAGTTGGGGACACACACCCTTAAATGTGTTTCCTTCCCAGCCCCTGCTACTTCCTCTCTCTCCCTCTTCCCTGAGGTTATTCTCACCCATGGTGTGTCAGCACATGAGTTTCTGCTTCAGGCTATTTTCTGGGTAAACATCAAGGTCCCCAGCAAAGCCAGCGACCTTGAAAAGGAGCCCGCTTTTCCTTCAACAGATGTGGCTTTCCTGAACAGCTGCAGCTGTGGCCAAGATTCAGCCATCAGAGTCTTTTCATTCAAGGCCTTTGACATATCGGGAGGAGCCAGGGAAATATTTTCTGCTTTCAGTGGCCAGGAGACTGACTTTCATGTGTGTCAGAGAGCTTTTCAAGCTGTTAGGTGTTAGGGTGGTGCCAAGGTGGGCAGGGCGGGGTCTGCTGACCCAGCCTCAGCTGTGCCTTTTAACAAGGAGAACCAGACACCAGAGACACGAGCCTGAACTACAGCCCTTCATATTCTTTTTCACTATAGGTTACTACAAGACATTGAATATAGTTCCTTGTGCTACACAGTGGCTTCTTTTAAATAGTGTTGTAGTCAGCTTGGGCTGCTATAACAAAAATCCCATAGACAGAGTGGCTTATTAGCAACATAAATTTATTTATTACAGTTCTGGAAGCTGAGAAGTCCATGATCAAAGTGCTGGCAGATTTAGTGTCTGGTGAGGGCCCGCTCCCTGGTTCATAAACATGTTCTCACCTGGCAGAAAGGGCAAGGGAGCTCCCCGGAGTCTCTTTTATAAGAACACGAATCCCCTTGAGGGGGGCTCTGTCCTCATGACCTAATCACCTCCCAAAGGCCGCACCACCTAATGCCATCACACGGGGGATTAGGTTTCAACATAAGAATTTGGAGGAGACACAAATATCTAATACGTAGCAAATTGTAAGACACAACACCTGTGAGCTCACCTTGGGGTAATTTGAGCATGAAAAATAATAGTAGTAGTAATAAGCTGTAACACAGTGAACTTTAAAAGAATTTATGAGATAATTATTCTCAAAGGGAAAAAGAGAGCAGGCAAAAACTCCTATATACAGAAGACAACAAATGATAAATATGGAAGGAATGCTGACAATAGGAAATCACCACTTTGCAATCCCATGGCAGCAATCGATCCAGGCCAGGATCACCTATGGATGTTAAAATTGCTGGATGAGTGGTTGCTGGGCAACAGGAGGTCCACATGGTCTCAGTGCATCACCACCCACAGTACTTGCTAATCAAGAGGGGAAATGTACCTTTACAATGGAGAGACCTAGCAGGGCCAGCTTAACTAAGTGTAGCATCACCAACGGTAGGGGACACTGTCCCCAGGTGATCTCTAACGTGGTGCTGTAGGAGGTCCAGTCTCACCTTCAAGGTGCTGTTGTCAAAGACACTAACCAAGAACTTGCTTGAGGAGACAAATTCAGAACGTGGACAATTTGGAGAGAGATTCCTCAAAATTATCAATGTCACGAAGATGAGGACAAAAGAGCAGTGAGACTAAGGGAGACTGAAAAAGCACGACAACCTAATAGGAACCCTGATTGGATTCTGGATCTAAAAAAAAAAGCCAAAGACGAAATTAGGGAAAACTGAATATGGACTATATATTATTGATACTATTGAATCAATAATCTGATACTACTTTATAAATATTTCTAAAAATATTTGAAGTACTTTCAAATGATTTGGTAAAATTTTTTTAATGTGTGTGTGTATGTAAGGAGAAAGAGCCCAAATATGGCCAAAAAAATTAGCAATTGGTGAATGCAGGGAAGGGCATGCTGGTTATTCATTGTATGAGTCTTTCAGCTTTCCTGAAATTT